TTGTGGAAGCGAACTTGAAACATCCTCTATAGCTGGCACTTTTATGTTTAGGAATTTTAAGCAAACTATCCATCCTTCTACGCGTATTCATTTCATTCATTCACTAAGGGAGTTCTCAGTTTACTCCGTAGTAGCTTGAGTAATAATTAAATATTCATGTGTGGTATTAATCTTGATTTTTATATAATTGTGAAATACATACGAGTGTAAAATGTACAAATTATATCAAAATCATCTATGATATTAGTATAATAAACTATAGAGATAAAACTGACCGTTAAAGGTTGTATTACAAAAGGTACTTTAGAAGCATATATCAAACGAAGGACAAATATAATGTTCCACATAAATATATATACGACAAATGTAAATAAGTCCAGGTTAAGAAATCGTATATAACAAACCTCTAATGTATCTGTTGGCGATGCAATTAACCTTTTTGTGTTTTTACTTTTAATACTTTTTTTAAAATAATAATTTTTATTTTTTATTAATTCTTTTTGTAAAATAATTCAATTAGTCTTCATTAAAATGATACAACGCTAGGCTGATTTGTACATAATTTTCAATTTTCATATAAATTCTTGTTATTTTTATTAAAAGTTGTTAGTTTCGTTATTTTTCTTTTATTTATTCTTCGCGCGTTCCTTCTTGTTCATGCTCTTCTCTTTTAGTATCAAAAATCTATGCTTAAATCAGCTCTACATTATTTGAGTTTTTTCCAAACTAATACGACTTAGGATCATTCAAGAAGCAAGCCATCTCTTTCTCAAAGGCCGGCAATAGCAGTTCCAGTATTGCAGATGTTCTCGGGTCTATGAATACCTTGGTGTTCGCGGTTTGCTCTCTTATATTACAAAAATATCTCTAGATGAGAATCTAAGTTAGTATAAGTTTGTTTAAGTTTCAATATAAAATTTAAAGTATAATTTTCAAATATCTTGTAAGCTCAAGGTCATTTGAGCCCTGCGTTATGCTTCGCAACATCTAAAATTATGTTCAGCGCAACGATTCGCGCAAATCAAAAGCCGCGAAGATATCAGAAGACTATTATAACGATACCTTCAGAATTAAATGTCTGTTAAAAACTGTTTACATTCAAGTAGAACTAACTAACATCCGCGTTACTTGATGACACTAAACTATTGGTCAAGCTTCCATGTCCTATTTTTGACAAGTCATTTTTTTTTTCTGACAATGACAAATGTTTACCAGCCAATGCCACCGTAACGGCCTTGCATTTGTTTTTATAATCTTAATCATTAATGGGGTGGACGTGTTGTAAGGTAACCGTGTTTATGGCGTATTATGTCTTTATATGGGTATACTTCGAAATTGTAATTCCTTATTTGGTCCATGCATAGTAAATTATGATAAGGACTCTGTACTGCTTACTATGAAGTGAATAGGTTTTGTCATCTTTAGATTGCAAGAATTCCTAGTGTACTAAATGATTTCGAATACTTATCACGTTTGTACCCTCTTTTAAATTCCGATTATTAATAGTTGGAATTTGAAAGGACTCTACAGAGATGGACATCTTAAGTGAAAATAAAGAGGAGAGGTAGTGTGCCTTTAGGAATAATTACCCAACAATAAGAAATAGGTTTCATAATTCATAATGTTTCTTTTAATAACGATTTTTTTGCTTCTTGAGTTATTAAGATTTTAAGGTCAAAGCTTTCTTTGTAATGCAATAGAGCATGTAGGCGCATTCGTTATCGCTTTGCTTTCGTTTACTTATCACTTTCTGCGACACGCCTAAGTTTGGAATGAACTAGGTTACATTGCAGTGACTTTACTTAGTACTACATTTACATATTTCTTTTATTAGTTATATTCTGAAAATACTTCCTTCTTCAATCTAAAACAAGGAAATGATAATTAATTAACTAAGACATTGTAAAGGAATTGTTTCCATTATTATCAATGTCGTTTACCAATATCTTTCATGTTACATGTATCGAAATTACCTCAAATTAATAACATTAAATCAAAGAATTACGCAGCATATTCATGAGTCCGCGTACACAGAATAGCGACACAAAGTGATTCACACGCTTCCAGTTCAGAGGTAACGCCAGAGTTGGCGCAGTTGTCGACGCGGAGGCGAACAAACACCACGCACCACTGGTTGCACAACATCGACACCCGTGCTCCCTCGTCTCAGACCAGATAACAATGGCCTGCGCCCATGAGAGAAAACTCATCAGGAGATGGTTCATCTTTGTGTTGTTACCTACGTGTTTCGCTGATCCCCAATTGGATTTGCCTCCGTTGCCTCAAATCTCGAGCACTCCACGCAACCCTTATGGTGGTTACGGTCTTCTATCAAGTACTCCATCGATAAACAGTCCAGGAAATCAATATGATATCCAAAATAGAAATTTCCAGTACAGCACTGCGAGACCAATAAGTACTAGTACAGCAGGAATCTATCCAATTTCGACGACTCCATTCAATGGTCGAATTAATCCAGATATAAGCAACAATGGATATCCGAGTTTAGATTATGGAAACGGACGTAATCCCAGTTCGACGTTACGACCATACGACGTGAACAGGGATGATAGAATAGATGTTAACAACGATCCTAATTTTAGACGGAATGATCCTAATTTTGCTCGGAACGATCCAAACTTTGCCGGAGCTAGTCCGTACGATTTCAACAGGGATGGAAACTTTAATACTATCGACGATAGATATCATAGAGTGAATTTACAGCAAGTGAGGGATTTCTTGGTACGAGCTGATGAACAGGCGTCGAAGGAATGCACCAATAATGTGGCAGCGCAGTGGAATTTTGAAACCGACGTGAATGATGCAACACAACATGCTGCGGTGAGTAGAAACACATTTACTTATCGTCTTTTTGAGTTACTGTCTTAATAATGAACTACAGTGACCTACATAGCTATCGCAAATGTACTTAGGCCTAAGCACTAACAATACATTTACTATGGAAGTTTACTCAAGATTTGCAATTAGAATTTAGTTTCAATAAACATTTTTTGTAGTAATGTACTCTATGTTGTTATTGTTCAACTCAAGATCACTATTTCTTAGCTAGGTCGAAGGTAAACATAACTTAATTAACAAGATTTGAACGTATTAGCACATTACTCCTTCCTCTAGGTCAAAGCTTTAGCATTATTCAATCGCCTAACCTTAAAGTACTCGAAGATATTACGAACTACTTTGTTCTTTATGTGTAAAACTATTTAATAGCCCTCATTTAACGGAATTTTCTTTGAAAAACTACAATAAATAAGTTTCCAACGTAAAGTTCGCAATAAAAACTGTTGAAGACGCAAGCCGGGACCCGTGGAAACGCTATCTGTAATCTCTAGGCATTGTTGTAGAAGATATGTGGGAAACAAAGCGACTTTCCACTTGGTATATGGTTTAAATTATTGACTTTACTTGAAAGCCGGTTTACCTAAACTCTATGATAAACTTAAAAGATTCAATTCTATAATACTTCATACTAATATTATAAATTTGAAAGTTTGGATGGATGGATGGATAGGTGGATGGATGGATGGATGGATGGATGGATCGATGTTTGTTAGAGTTTGTATCCTAAACGGCTGAATGGATCTGGATGAAATTTGGGATAGATGTAGAGGATAGTCTGGAAGAACACATAGGCTACTTTCTTTTGTTTTTTTAATACCAGGCGAACGGAGTCGCAGGCGGAAGCTAGTTTTTAATAATGACAATCCGAAATCTGAAATCGTTGTTATTTTGGTAACAACTGCTTTAATTTGCTTTGACACTAGTTGTAGCCACCGACGAAAGCTAAGAGCGTAGCGTCGGTGGCTCAGGGGATTAAGCACTTGACTTGTAATCTACAGGTATTGGGTTCGAATCTCACCATGTACCAATGTGATTTTCGAAATTCATATGTACACAATTTATCCGACGTTCTTACGGTGAAGGAAAAGATCGTGATGAAACCTGTACATGTCGGCGAAGAAATTCGAAGATTTGTGAAGTGAACCAACCCGCACTTGGCCTGCGTGGTTGACTATAGCCTAGTCACCCCTTACTTAGGATAGGCTCCGAGCCCCTCAGTGGTGACGTATATTGAGCTGGTGATAATGACTAGTTTCAGATTTATTGAGATAGATTAGTTTCTCCTAACAATGAAATTAGCAGACGTGTTTTAACGGTTTGACAAGAATTTTCCATCGACAACCGTTTAAGCAATTTTCGCAACAATCCATGACGGTCAACCAATGTGATTACACAAATAAATTGGGACATAAGGAAAACTACGTTTAAACTATTTTTAATATTGAATCGTGATAAAAAGATTTCCTTATTACATATTTCATATTAGTCATTTCTTTGATATACGGAAATTAATTTGTAACCTTTAAATTTCCTATAGGATATTAAACGTTTCCCATATAGTGTCAATTGAATTCAATTCTAATACTAACTGCTATTTAAACAATATACAGAATTGACCAATAACCGGAATACCCTAAAAATACAATTAGACACTGTTTATGTCTACGTGTTATGTTATTGGGTGATAATAAATGAAATATTGATCTATCAAACAAAGACACAACTATATAAATTATAACACGGCTAAACTCACGTGATAACATTCGGTGTAACCCAACGGGTTCGAAACTGTCGGTGCCTACACCGAATGTTATCACGTGAGTTTAGCCGTGTTATAATTTATATAGTATAATGTCTCACGAAAGTTTTAATAAGTTAAAAGACACAACTTTTTGTAGTCGAGATTGTTGAAGCATTGTAATTACGTTTTGTTTTGTCATCAGTACAAAACGTAGTTAAATCTAGTTTCCTTGAAGAAAGTGTATCTTCAAAGCATTAGAATAACCTGTATTATACTTATTGAATAGTAAATTGTTTTCCTAAATTAAATCGGAAATTCATGCAAAAGTTACACATCATTTATCACTAACAAAGTAATAAAATGACTGGCCAAAAACGACCGCGTCAAATGGCGGAACTGAGCAGTCCTCGACCACGTTTTATTGTCGGTATTCTAGGCCTGCGACCTATAAGGCCTGGGATCATCGGACAATGGGATAATTCATTACCACCAAGGCTTCTCATTGTGTTGAAACCATTAAGCCTTCGAATTTGGTGTTCATCTGTTCTAAATGACAGATTAAATCCTTACTAGGTCTTGTAAACAAATGACGGTGGTAATAATATTTAACTGAAATAATTTATTCGTTGCTTAATGTTGCTAGTTGTTAAAATTTTATAAATGACCAGTTGACTCCCGAGATTCCATCCGTGTGGAATTAAAAGAAAAGTAGCCTATGTGTTCTTTCAGACTATGCTCTAATTCTATGATAAATTTCACTGAGATCCGTGCAGCAGTTTAGGCTACAAACTCTAACAAACATCCATCTAAACTTTCGCATTTATGATATTAGTAAGTTTAGTAAGACATTAAATTATACAAATATTGTCCTATAAAATATAATTAAGTATTTAGTTTACATATTCTAACTCTGACAGCCGCTAAATGATGTTATGGACGTCAGCGTATAGTAATTACTCTATTATTTATAAAAAACACAGAGGGCGCTAGAGTCGCGTTACAAAAGTGTTGTGTGTAAGCTAAAATGTATTTGAAATACTTAATTTTTATGGTAAGGTCATAAAAAAAATTAACATATATTCTTTGTCATTGATGAATCATTTGTTGAAATAATATAAATTTGAATTCATTATAAACTAAAAACTAATCTATATCGATACTATTATAATAAAGCGTAAACACACACTTCTTTGTTGCCTAAGATGTCAGCAATTATAGCATGTTTTTAAATAAATATTATTTTAATAAAAAGCCCTACACTTACGTCACGCTTTAGGCTATACATTTTCACGCCATTAAACTAAATGGGTAAATATTTTGGATAAAAACCTTAATGTGGGAAAGAGACCATAAGTTGCGGCCAACATCAAAGATACAAGATTGCCAAGGTTTGTCATGTCATGTCAAATTGACATTTGCTATTGATAATTTGACAAATGTGAACAATAAAATAAAATTTTCATAATGTCATGCGGACGAAGCCGCACGGGAAAAGCTAGTGGTATTAATAAAAGTAAAACTGTTCTATAAATCAGAAAAGATTTCAAGGATATATTTTTTGTACGTAAAAAAACTATAGGCGCAGCAATTTTTTAACCATAAACATGCTTAGCATAATATCGATATTTTTTGTCATCAAACTATCATTTACGTGATTTCAGAACTTGGGACGTGAGAAGGACGCTAATTTTTTTTTTCATAAAACCAGACTTTAAGTTAAGAAATGACGATAGGATGATTGTAGGGGGGGGGGAGGTCTAAAGTTTGAAAAAATCGATGACGTAATTTATGGACGGCCCCTTATCGTTTATGTCCGTTTATAGTTATTTAGTGTTGCATGTATTATATTAGTAAGAATAAAACAATATTTCATACTAATATTACAAATACGAAAGTATGTATGGATGAATGTTTGTTACCGCGTAAATTAATTGGCTTCATGAATATCGATCATATTTGGCACATTTGAAGAACAGTCTGGAAGAATACATAGAATACTTAGGACGTTTTTTAATTGCATGTTAACGAGGTCGCGAGCAAAAGCTAGTTTATTGTAAAAATTTTAAATTATTCTTTAAGAAACAACACACATTCTAACTTAACGATTTTAAATCAACTTAACAACATCTATGTGTCTATGAATGTAAATGTAATAGTGGTCAAGAAATATACTAAATTACAATTAATCTATACTAATATTATAAAGAGGAAAGATTTGTATTTTTGTATGTATTGAAATAACTTAAAAACTACTAGACCGACGTTAAAAATTCTCTCTCCATTAAAAATCTACATTATCAGTGAGTAACATTAGCTATGCTTTTTTTTATTTTTGTATTACGCAGACGAAGTCGCGAGCTACAGCTAGTCTTATATACAAGCTGTAGGTTACGAGCATGAGTTATAAGTTCTGTCTATTTTCTTACTATCAATAACGTTTGACCTAGACCGTGTGACATTGTTGTGTTTTTAGCACCGTTTTGCGGAACCATGTTAATGAAGATAATAAATATTGCAACATGCATTTGTCCATTCATAAAATATGTTCAATGAATCACACCTACACATACAAGTAAACCAGAGAATTCAAAAATTCTTTTACTATTAGGAAGCTACATTATCTGAGTAATATCATAGTAATATTATAAATGCGAAAGTTTAGATGGTTTGTTAGAGTTTGTAGCCTAAACGGCTGAACGGATTTCAATAAAATTTGGTATAGACGTAGAGAATAGTCTGGAAGAATACATAATCACTTTTATTTGTAATTCCACGCGGACGGAGTCGCGGGCGAAAGTAGGATATATTTTTTTTAGTTCGGCATAGAATTTGTAGGAAAAAGTTAGTCTTGAATAAGCAAAGATATAAAAAAGTTGCATTGATGTTTGAGGCATACTATAATAGTTGACGCATCGAAGATAATTATAATTTATTTATGTAATTTTGTTGTTTTGCGTATACATAAATGCTAGTTCTGTCTGTTTATTGCGATTGAGTTTAAGAATAAGGTTGACAACACAGTGTCACGGCCGTGAGAAATTAAACCATTTTCAAGGCGAAGGCGGATAAAGTGTAATAAACGATATTCACAACATTCTTGTCATTGTTACAATACTGTACGTGCCGCATTCAGTCTGCAGGGAAGTTCAACAACTAAAAAACAACCTTAACAAGTTACTTAGACCAAGTATTTATTTCTCGACTAACAGACAACCTGACAAACAGTAAAGCAAATAACAAC